CAAGATAGGGACTGTAGGTTTGTTCTTAAGTTGAATCTGTATGTAAGTCGGAACTGGCGTCCAGATTCAGCCGTTGCTGAAACTGACCAGCGGCTGACTGCAGGAAGCCCGAGGCAGAGTTGCTCTGCCCCAGGCTTCCTGGAATCAGCCACTGATCAGTTTCAGCAGCAGCTGACTTGGGGACGCCTGGGTTTCTTAAGTTGAATCTGTATGTAAGTCAGAACTGGCATCCAGATTCAGCTGCGGTTGAAACTGATCAGTTTCAGCAGCGGCTGAATCTGGACGCCAGTTCCGACTTACATACAGATTCAACTTAAGAACAAACCTATCTTGTACGTAACCCGGGGACTGCCTGTAATCTATTTTTCTATTGCCCAGCTTCTGTCTTTGTTCATCACTCATGATTAATTCCCCCCTCCCTGCCTATGAAATTCAGAGGAAGTCCAGTCTTGTTTCTGGAGGCGCCAGGATTAACCTCTGCCATTTGTCCTAGGCATCCAGGTTTTCTCTCTCTGGAAATATATTGTTAATTCAGTTTCTACTGATTATTTGGTTGTATAGCTTCAAGTTTTATTTGTTTTCATGCAATGGTTACTTATTTTCTTTCATTTCTTCTCCTGGATCAAATATTTTACAGGTAGGTGGTTTCAACCACCCAAATATGCAGTTGCAAACCTGCTTTCTAAGACACCTCTACATACCCTCCCCTAGGCCTTGCAGAATTACCCTGCAAATCCTGGGCTAAATCTAAATGGTTTTCCTATCTGAAGAAGCATTTACAGAATCTACAGAGTGCAAATTATGTGTGTCTATTTATAGACAGCCAGATCTTATGCTTTCAGGGCACAGGGCTGAAAATCAGACCATCATGTAGAGTTACTTCCCATTCTGCGACTCCACTGTATTTCATGGAGAGAATCAGGAATAAGTCCCACAAAAGATCCAGGCCAGTAACGGAAAAATCCTGAAAGGATCCTAGAGTCCCTCACGTAGTCTTTTCTACCAAATACAAACTGATCACAGAGCTTGCTTACTCACACAGTAGTTCTTATACATTAGGTGGTGCATTCAGTTCTCACATTTTTACTTTCTCATTAATAGGGATGATTGTCTTGATTGTCTGTCCCAAAATCTTGATATGGGGTAGGCAAAAAACACATTTTTCCTTGTTTAGCAAAAGTACAGACTGACTTTGGACTTCATTGAGGATTTTGTAGTGTTTTCCCAATGAAGACATATATCACAGTGGTTCATTAATGGTTCTGTCATCTTTCTCTGGAAAATTTCAAGCGCATTGGTAATCTCAGAAGGTCATCTTCAAAAGTAAAGTCTCTCAAAGGGTGTGATAAA